TAAAGAAACAATCCTAAAACTAGAATTGTAATAGCCTCCTGGTGTGGAAGAACTATCACTTTCACAGGTAATACTTTCTGCTTAAAATTCTAAAGAAAACCAAATTATAGCACATACTCTTCGACCCTGGGTATAGAAACCAACCTTATTTTTTATACCCCGGTAGCTTCGTGAAATTCGGTTCGTTTCCGTGCAACTCGATATGACTGAGTTTCAGGCGAAGAAATATGGACGTAGAGAAAATATAGGATGGTCATGGAGAGAAAATAAAGGAGAAAAAGTAGTGCATTAGGTCATCGCATTGTGGCACTCGCCACCCTTTTCTTCTTTTTGAGTGTGGTAGGCGCCACACTCCTTCACACACTCATGTGGCAGGCGCCGCAAGGATGGTGGTTGGTGCCACATGCATTAGGTGTGGCAGGCGCCACCCTTTTGTAGTGTGGTGGGCCCAAGGTCCATTTCTTTTATATACTTTTTTATTTTTTTCTTTCTTTTGTAAATTCAATCCACTTCTTGTTAAGGTACCTGAAACAACAAAAATATCGGCATAACAAGACATAAATCATGATAAATCAGAGAAATTGTAACTAAAATTCATGCAAGTCAAGTCAAATATACTATATAATTTCGCGTTATCACTAGCCCAACAAAGAAGTAACAAGAAGGAACGTCTACTTAAAAAAGGTGTCTCCCTTGTTGGGAGGCAACCCAACTTTTTATGTTTTTTTTATAGCTTTTCATTTAGTAGTATATGCATTAAAGAGTGAAAATGGATGGAAAACTTGAGAAAAGTTTCCATTTTTGAAAAATCATGTTGCAGCTCTGCTCACTCAGTGCAACCAGAGAGCGCTTAACATGCTCTTCTGCATCTGTAAAAATATCTCAGCCCACTTAACAACTTTCACCCAGGTCTTTTGACCCATTTTGAACTTATTTTATTATATGCTTAGTAGTTTAATTTAATTTAAAGTTGTTAGAAAATTATTTTGTGTTTGCCCAAGAAGCTTGTCTTTAATTGGCTTAAGGAAACATGGAGTGGTTGTTTCAAATTTGAATGTATCAACAAGAAAATGCTTTTGTAATGATATAAGTTTGAAGGAACGTGAATTGTTAAGGTACATGTTTAATTCTTTCTATAACATAGCATGAATATAAAACTTATGCTTTGTATAAATATCCTGTCATTCATTCTTTTTCAATACTTGTTCATGATTGAATCACTTTAGATCATCGCCAAATGTGAGGAAACTTTCCATTATTCACTATATGTACAGGAGACCAACAATCTTGTTTTAAATCGTTTGACTTATGTTTAATCTTGCATTTGTGTTGAATTTTATGAAAGCATAAAAATGATCAATGCATTTTGTTTGGTTTTAAGCACAACCACCTGACCAAAAGTAACCTACCTTGAGAGTGAGTGAGTATTCGTTAACCCTTTTAAGCCTTAGTGTCTGAATCTATATAAATTTTGAATTGTGGGATTTTTTCCTTGGACGCAGAGAGTAGTTCATCATTAATTTTAGATTGGATTTTGAATTTTTTTTCTTGAACCTTCAACCATGAATTGTGGTTTGAATTCTTACCATTGCCTTAGAAATTTCGGGATTATTCACATTACAATGATTGGTTGTATTCAAGTTAGGGAGAAAAAGGTGGTTTGCTAAGAGGTTGATAAAGAAAAAGAAAAGGGAAAAAGAAAAGAAAAAGAAAAAGCCTTGAAAAAGAAAAAGAAAAGCAAAAGTTTTGTGCTAATAAGTTTTGTTCAAGGGTGTAACAATTGAGCAAAGAGAAAAATGTGAATGAAGTTGTGAATACTTGAGAATTTGAGAAGCGACCACTCTCATTTGTTTAGACAATTTTTGTTTCAATTACCTTGAGAAATGACCATTCTTTTTTAACCAAGCCACATTAAACCCTTGAAAGTCCTTTGCGGTTTGTGATTTTATTCTTTTAATATGAGTTTTTTTGGATGAACACATAACTTGATCAAGATGTTAGCAAGATTGTTAGGTGTGAGTCAAGTTCCTCATATTTGTTCTTCATCCATTGATGAAGTTGTGTGTTAGGTGTGATTCATATTTGAAAATGTGTTGCTTTAGAATTTTTGACATGTCTTTTATGCTTAAAATTTGTTTAATGATCATGGTATCGTTGTAGTATAGTGGTAAGCATTACTTTAATTGTACTTTTGAAATTTAAATCATGCATTTGCTTCCGTTTCTAAAAAATTGTTTGATCATGATTTTTGGTCGTTGCTCTTGTTTCTTTAGGTTTGTAAGATTCTTGTTTGAGGATAAACAAAGTTTTAAGTTGGGGAGAGTTTGATAAGTGCCAAATTATGTTAGATACGTATGTAGTTTTGTGCCACTTATTAACTTGTTTCATTTGAATTTCTTAGATAAACTTCAAATTTTGTGCATATATTGTGTAGTTTGATATTTGCAACTTATTTTGTAGGTTTGTATGCATTGGAGGATCTTTGAGCATCAAAGGACATGAGATTTACTTCTAAATGAAAATTTTGAAGTTCCTGAGCGGGCTAAGCGCGCTTAGAGAGGCCTAGGAAGTGGTGAAGGCATTTTTTAAAGTTTCTAATTGGGCTTAGCGTAACCAGAGTGTGCTTTGTGCGATTTGTGCTTATCCCTAAATTTTGTGATTAGCCCGGATCCACTTTTTAGCCTTGTATATATATATATATATATTCACTTCTTCTTATATATTTTGGGGGCTCTCAACCATTTTTCATATTCTCTTGGCACAACAACACAAGAAAAGAGAGGAGCTTGGAAAACAACAAGAGAGGGTGCACCTTAAAGTTCTGAAGCTGGATTCACTTCTATCGACGTGCCATTGCGAAGGATGCTTGTTCATCTTCATTCTTCTCTTTGTACTTAGATACCATGGGTAGCTACATCTCTTTCTTGTTAGGATTGGGTGTAAGTTTACTGTTAAAGTATGTATTTTTGTGAATCATGGTGTTGTGAAAAATCTATTTTATGAATCTATATCAATTTTATACTTGTTTAATTGTTTTACATTTTGATTTGAACCGTGATTGAGAAATAATCTTTGAATCTCGACCTAGGATAACCATCTGTTAGATTCTAAATGTTAGACATAGATTTAGATCTAACATTCACCGTGGGCATCAAGTCTTAATTCTTCGTATTGTTTAATAGAGTGAGAGATCATCGATTAATTAATAAGGTAGAACTTGCGACATCGGCTAGACATAACAATGTTGATGGGCAATATGTGATGATATTGATGAATGTTTAGATTGTTCATAACTGATTGATAAATTTACGTATATGATCGGTGGATGAAATCCAGTCCTAATAAGTTCTCTCCTCTCTCCAAAACTTTATTTATTTATTCATGTGTTTTACATTCTGCATCTTTAAACTTTCAAGCACCCTCCGAACAAACAAGCTTAAAAATGTAGAAACCGTTGAATGAAATTTGATATCGCATCAATCCTTGTGGATACAATAAAACAAATACTTACTTTTGATTGCTACTTTACTGTAGCAACAGAGGCATAAAGAAATAATACTTGTATACCCTTGAGGCTGAGGTTGTAAGTGGCTCAGCAGATGTGGCATCCATAAAAAATGTGTCAAATATTGAGCTATGGCACAAGAGACTTGGCCATGTTAGTGAAACAGGTGTGGTCGAGTTGTCGAAACAAAATCTGTTGTGTGGTGACAAGGTAGAAAAACTAGAGTTTTTTGAACCTTGTGTATTTGATAAATTCTGTAGGGTGAAGTTTAACAAAGGTAAGCAAATAACACATAGATCCCTTGATTACATTCATGCTGGTCCTTAGGAGTCTGCAAGGAATCCTTCACAATCAGGTGCAAAGTATTTTCTATCCATAGTTGATGATTATTTTAAAAAATTATGGGTATTCATCCAGAAGACTAAAGATGAAATTTTTGAAAATCTCAAAAGTTGGAAGACTTTGGTCGAAAATCAAACTGACAGGAAGGTTAAGAGGTTGAGAACCGACATTAATCTTATTTTGCAATGAGGCTTTCGACATCTATTGTGTTGCGTTTTGTATTATAAGACACATAATTACTACAAATCCTCTTTAACAAAAATAATTTGGCTATCGAATCATTCTAAAAGAGATATTTTTGAGAAACCTTGCAACTCCAAAGGCTGGTGACAAAGCTGATGATGATACTCAGAGACACCTATACAAAAAGTTCACAATCAAGACCTTTCTCCTTTATTTAGCAGATTAGACTTATTTCATAAACAAAAGCATTGCCTACACTCATATAGTGTATTTAAAGTATTTTGAAAATATAAACATGGTTTGTAACTATGATGCATTGACTTACCGATTTGAATGGTGAGATAAATTTTAGGACAAGGCATTTAATAGGAATATGGAACTATTTTTTTATTTAGTTAGTTGTTAAATTATTTTATTCAAATATATTTAGTGATTTGTATATGTTAACTACCAACATTTTCACGTATTGAAGGAGGAAAGTTTGAGTGAGAGTATTTAGAAACAAATTTTAGTATTTAAAATGGTCCAATCTATTTTCTTGTTTCTCATACTATTTTATAAAAATATTTAGTTTAAGGGGAACAATATTTAATTTTTTCTGAAAATAATATAATTGATTAAGTAAATTTTTTAATAAAAGATATAAGTAATTGGGGCACATGCCCCCAATGTCATACAAATAGTTTCTTAATCTAAGGAGGCATTAATATGAAGAGATAAAAAAAATGCTCTATATATAGTGTTGTTATTTGTTAGGCAATGGTCACATTTTTAGGTAATCATGTTTCACACATTACATTACTTATTTATTCCTTACAAACTAGTATTTTTTACATAATTTTATTATTGATCTTTAGTTTATTACACATATACAAAAAAAAGAAAAGGCCAAATATACATACATATACATATACTATACAAATAGTTATATACAAAAATGTAGAAAGTATAAATATATTGCAATGAATTTTTAATTTGTCTGAAGAATTCTCCCACGATTCTCAACTTCTTGTTCAACTGCAAAATGTGAAACCATCACATGAATTATTTTATTTTTTATAGGAACAAAGAATGTTTAAGAAAACATGTGATATTTATATTATATGTACCTTGTTGTGTAGTGTAGCTTGTTTGTGAGGAATTAGCACGTGTTGTAGGACTTTTGACGCCATATTTTAGATGTGCTTGTTCATCATTCCTTAGCAAAGAACTAACAACTCCTTTCACCTTATCAATCACACCAATACCATTAGAACCTTTCCTAGGACTCAAGAATGCTTGAGAATTATATGAAATTTTGGGGCTGGTAGTAGTATTAGTCTTCACACTTGGTGGAGAAGGCGACGCGGTTTTCATCATTACTGAAGTGAAAGGAGCAACGGGTGTTATTGAACCAACATTATATTTGGAGGAGGAAGCAGGTTGAGATGATGAATTTGAGTTTGATCCTTCAACGTTGGATGATGTTAGTTTCTGAGTCATTGTTGTGCTTTCTTTTGTGCTATTATTTGGTGTTGTTGCAAGTTGAGGAGTTTTTGTTGATGTTGATGTTGATGGTGATGTTGATGTTGTGGACTTGATAGGTGTAAGTGCATTTCCTTGATCATGTTCTCCTGATTTCATTGTCCTTAGAACACGTTTCTCAGAGATTACTGGATTCGCTCTTGGATGTTGTCTTGCATTTTCTTTGTACTCTTCTGGTGCTAACTCTGATTCATAGACTGAAATAAAAGAATGTGTAATGAAAAATGAATAAACATAAGACTAAGGTTTTAAATTGCGGTTGCAGTTACTGTATGATTGTAATTGTGGTAGTGGCGGTTTTCTAAAATGTGGTATAGAGTTATGAATTATTTTAATTACTTGGAGCTCCGAGGTATTCAGGGTCTTCTTCTTCTTCTTCTTCGTCTTCTAGGCTAACTCCCCAAGACGGAGTAAGGTTTTCTTCGTCTAGTCTTTTTCTGCTAAGGCTGTTGCGTAATACTAACTTCTTGGCCCTTTCCTTCACTTTGGCGAGAACTGATTTTCTCTGATAGAGGCCATGGTCTTCTTCAAGGTCATGGTGCTTCATCCCAAAGTAATGAGAGGAAGGGGAAGAAGCAGACGTGTGAGAGTAGGTTGGTGACATCCTAGGGGCTTCCCCTCCTGCATATGAAAACATAACATAAAACGAATATGATTTTTATGTAGGACATAAATTAGATTATCTTTTCATAGGTGTTACTTGTGATGCAAGCAATTCTGTTGTGTTATTTGATCGACAGATTTTGCGACAACTTCTTAAATAAGTAACATTGTTCAAATACTCAAATGGTTAATAGATACTCTCTCTTATCCTTATGGTGTTACCTCGGAGGAATTGTTCCATGGTTGCAATGGAAGGACTTTTTGGTGTAGTATCAACATGTTTGTAAGTGCGTTCTGTCGGAGGCATTTTTCTGAAAACTTCCTTTGATATTGCAATGTGCTTAAGCTTTTAAAGTAACCTTGCATTAATGTTTGTGATTAATTTCTATGATTAATAATAAAAGGGTATTAATTTAACACAAAATGAACCATTGTGAAGGAATTGGTTCCGGGATTATAGCATTGTGCCATGATTTAGAAGGCTAAATAGAGTAGAGATACATTTGTGGACTCATTTTTTTGCACGTGGAGTCGCTAATTTTCTAGCTTATAAATCTTACAAATAAATAATTGACCTTAAATAGTGATTTAAATAAGCCATGATAACACATTAAAAATTGTTTTTTGGTTACTATAGGCAAATAAATTCAAGCTTGAAAACTTAAACACCCCAATTTTGTAAATGGAATTTGATAACTCCCGACCTTACACACACACACACACACATATATATATATATATATATATATATATATATATATATATATATATATATATATATATATATATATATATATATATATATATATATATATATATATATATATATATATATATATATATATATATATATATATATATATATATATATATATATATATAATGTTAAGATAACTCCATTGATAATGTAAAAATATTTGATTGCAGTTGCATAAGTTTGAATCCGCAACATATAATTTATTCTTTTATAGAAATTAAATTTTGTTTGATAGACTACTTGACAAAAAAAAAAGATAATGTATAGGCATTGCATGAGGTTATTTATATTTAATTGAATTTTAAAAAATTGATTGATGTTAAAAAAAAACTAATTATATATATAATAAGTTATTAGATATTAGAAAACAAATATAAAAAATAATTAATAATATAGTTTAAATAAATATATAAATTATAGTTATGATTTATAATTATATGTTCTACATTTTTTATCTATTTCATAATAACAATAGTAATAATAATAATTAGGTGAACACTTTGTATAAAAGAATTTATCTAATAATTTTTAATATTTTTGTTACATTTTTAAAAAGAAAATTCTTAGAGCACCAACTAATAAAGTTAAGGATAATATAGGAAAAAGTTTGTGAGATAATTAATCTTGAGGATAATATAGGAAGTTAATAATAGAAAGTTTGATAGAAAGTTAATAGTGAGAAGTTACGTGAAAGATGGTAGTAGTAGTTTGAATAGAAGTTATTGTGTAAAGTAAGGGTAAAATTGGTAGAAAAATAGGCTACACCAAAACACCATGTGTTTGCCTTTATATATGTTAGAGATATAATGAATTGAAATTACTCATTAATTTCTTAGACAAAAATAGAAATAGAAGTGGTAAAATGGTCCGCCCGCCCAACCCTGTCATATTTTAAGCCCGTCAAAAAAAGAGTTGGGTGGGCAAGCCCACAAAGTAAAATTGATATTTAAAAATCTAACTCGTCCCACGAAGGTGATGGGTTTACGGGCGGGGGTATTGCCGTCTATTGTTTTATAATTTTTTTATTCATTTTTTTATATATTAAAAGAGTTTTTTCTTACATTTTAATTAGAAAGTATCAAACCAATAATTAAAAAGCAGAAAATAACAACAAAAAATCTAAAATCATCAAGAAATTTCACCTAAAATAGAATCATCAACAAGAGTTCCAAAATTATAGTTCAAGTATTAACCTTCAACCGACTAAAATAAATATTTTGAGTGCTTGATAACTAGGATGGTGGGCAAACTTGTCCCTTTCTTGGCGGACTTTAAGGTGGGGCGAGTTTAGAGGATTTCTTACTGCGCCCTATATGTTACTTATGCACCATGCAAAATACTAAAATTCTCCCATATTTCGGAGATGCATCTCAGGACGTATCATGCGCCAACGTTATGGCGCACCAAATAAGTGTCATCCTAGATGAATATTAAAAAAAAAATTGGGAAAGCATCTCCAGATATTTTCAACAACTAAAATAAAATTTAATAAGCACAGTGGTTATTCCGGAGATGCATCTTCGGATGTTTGGGGCGGGATTTTAAAATTTGTTTCCACCTTTGCATGTCAGATATTTTTCGGAGATGCATCTCCGAAAGAATTTGATAAAATACAAAGTTGCATGATCACACAACCATACTTGTTTTTCACTCCTAACCCTCACCAAAAACTTTTTCATTCTCAATCCATATTTTCAGTCCAAATCTTCAATCTTGTGTTTCATCACATCAAAGGGAGCAAAAGAAGTTGGAATTCCAAGTAAAAATTTATTTCAAGACTCATTGCTCACATCAAGTTTGTTTTCATTCTAAAAAATGAGCATTTATTCCAGATAAACATTTCCAAAATGAGTACGAACTCATCCGGAGATGCATTTCCGATATCTGTCTGTGTTCATTTTTTCAGCTTTCTTTACAATGTTAGTGCTTATTTACTGTTTTGTGGTAATTATTTTTATTAGATATGGTGCACCCTGATATTTTCCTCAAACAAGTTGTGTCTCCCACTGTTAAAGGTATTATTGTGCAGGCGGTAAATATTGGCAACCAATTTAAAAATGAGTAAGAGTTTGAATCTCGTGATAACATGCTTCAGTGGATTCGTGCAGAGGTCTCCAAACGGGGACTTGGTGTGGTTAACGAAAAGTCTGATAATGATTTGGATAAAAGATGTGTTTTTTGACAATGAGATGTGAAAGAAGCGGGAAATATAACCCTCCTCTCCGGAATTTTAAACGAGACGACATTGAGTCAAGAAAATGTGAGTGTCCCTTTAAGGTACGTGGTTATATGTTGGCAAATAAAAACTAGAGATTTAATGTCATATGTGGTTTGTATAACCACAATTTGTGTGAAAAGTTAGTCGGCCACCCAATTGTGTGTCGCCTCATGTCGTAAGAGAAGGAATGTGTTGCTGACATGACATTGAATTTAGTTCAACCGAAAAATATACTTGCAACTTTGAAATGTAAAAGACTGTAAAATATCTCAAATATCAAGAAAGTGTACAATATTTGGTACCAAACTAACAAGGCGTTTAGGGTGATAGAGCTGAAATGCAACGACTCTTGAAACTATTGGATAATAACAATTATGTGTCTAGGTACTGTTAATTTGATACAACTCTTAAAATATGTTAAAAGCATAATTCTTGACCAGGTAAAGGAGAAAATTGTTTGTGCTTGAACTGATTAGGTTAGACACCTTGGAAATAAAATAACTAACCGAGTTGAGTCAGCCCATGCAACATTGAGGAATCGGTTGGAAAATAGTACGGGCGATTTGTGTTGAGATTGGGACTTCGTGAACTAAATGATTCAGAACCATCATTGTTTTGGATCACAGATTTAATAACAACAATCTTTATTCTCAGTTGGTCGAAAACATATCTCGAGTGGGTTTGAATTATATTTTTCATGAGGCTAAACAAGCTGAAAATGTAGGCTCTGATAACGCAAAGTGTGGATGCACAATTGTGAAAATATATGGTTCTCCATGTGCTTGTATTATTGCAAAAAAATGTGAAATTTAGTAGCCCAATAAGAATGGATGAGGTTTGCACTCACTTGAAGAGGCTTTGGTTTGATGATGATGGTGTCATGAAAGATGGTAAATCAAACATCTCTATCTTGACCAAATAGTAAGTGATATAAAAGAGGTTTTTGAAAGTCAATGATATAATGAAACTCCACATTAAAGAACAATTGAGGAAGATTACTTATCCGGAAACCACCGACTTGAAACCACCCTCTCAACCTGTGAAAAAAAGGTGCTTCAAAGAAGCTCAAGCCTACACCAAATGATAATTCGACAACATAGTCTCCTTCCTATTTTGAACATGTTGACAAAGTTTTTCCCGACTCACCAACTCCAAAATTTGAAAAGAGTGTTGTTAAAGAAGCTCGCATTAGCAAACTACCTCATTTGCCGCCTCCGCCAAAGATTTCATTCATTTACGAGATGTCGATTTTTATGCACAAATACATCGAGCAGATCATCAATGTTGAGGGGACGGTAATTGCGGTTATCAAACTATTTCAGTTTTACTCGGTAAAGGAGAAAATAATCATACACTTGTTCGCCATCAACTTATCTAAGAGTTGTGGACTTATAAAGAATCATACATATGACTGTACGGAAAGAAAGAACTCTTTGATGAAGTTTATGAGTCTCTTGTTCCTTGACTTAGTGGACCGACCAAGGCAAAATGAATGTTATTCTTTGAAGTGGTTCACCTCATAGCATGTGCGTAAGATAGAGTGTGTGTTGATCTTACACGATACGGTTTTTCGAGAACCTTTTTCCCATTGTGTACTTCCCCCCTCAAACTCTAAATGGTCGTATTATGTGTATTGGATGGCTTTCAAAATCAAGACATATTGTTCAAGTTTACTTGAAACTGGGATGCCCTATACCACTTACATCACCGGAGTGGACGGATCATTCAACAACAAAAGTCGAGACCTGGTCGGACCATTTTGTAGAAAAGATGCAAGAGTTCGAGGAATTAAGAAACATTGAAAGAGAATCAAATGTACAAAAGTCAAATGGGGTGTCATCCATAGATTTAGCAAGCGACAAATGTTTTAATTCATTTTAGTTTCCTGTTTAGTTGGACAAATAAGTGTATGTAATTGTGTCTCAATATTAATGAAGTGTAATATATTCAAACTGCAGTATAGCGGCAAAAAGAAAAAGATTTGGAAGAATTCCCTATGGATTTTTATCGTCCCCACAGGGATCAGTGCAAGGGAAAGAATGTCGTTCGACGGTCTCTACGTTCCTAAGCTTGGTTTGATTGGTTTTAAAAGAGTAAAAGGCAGAAAGTAAAACATATGAACAAGTAAATAATGTAAGGGGAATAATTCTTCAGGAATTATATTTCATTTTACCCATTAAGTACTAAAAAATATATCAATCAGTTGTACGCAACCTAAATTACTCATTGATATCCTCATGTATCACCCACAATAGAGATTATATCTAACGCAAAGTTGAGAGAACAACCGTATTGTTTCATTGGTGATGTATCACACAACTCAATAACACAG